TTCAGCCTTTCATGGAGTACACACTTGCCACTGCCCCTTCACAAGATACTACACAAAGCCTTTGGCTACCAGGAAGAACAACACATGGAGGCTCAACACCTGAAAATGCTAAATTCAGATTATCTGAAGGCACCTACTGCCAAAGCAGAGCAACTCTTGGAAAGAGGAAAAAAAAAAAGAGGAAAGGAACTATGTACCTTATACAGTAAGATATTTCAAAATATTTTGACTACTGGGAAAGTATTTAAGCATCTTAAAGAGAGACCTGCGTTTCATGTTTAGTCATCTTTGTTCACTGAACATCAACATACACAATTTAATTACAACATCACAGAATCAGCTAGGTTGGAAGGGAGCACAGTGGCTCATCTGGTCCAACCTCCCTACTCCAGCAGGGACACCCTGGAGCACATTGGCTCAGGATTGTGTCGTTGGTTCTTGAATACCTCCAGTGAGGGAGAATCCACAGCCTCCCTGGGCAATCTGTATAATGAGTCAGTTATACCAAACATGAATGGATTTGCTGAGGATGAAGAGTGCCCAGCAGGCAGGGATAAAATTCCCTTTCTTCTTTAAAGGAAGGAGATCTCTGCAGTGATCACACTACAGCACTGTGACAAGGAATTCCTTGGTGAAATGGGGTTTAAAGTTTCATGTCAGGCACATTCCATCCTTTACCTCTCTCCTGTTTGTCACTGTTGCTGGCACACATCTGTCCATGTATGGTTACTGCACAGTGGTTGGAAGCTTCAGAGAGGTGTCTTCAAAAGCACAACTGGTAACTACAGCACACCATGCAGGCTCTGCACTCAGACCAGCAATCAGAGCTTTTTCCACTGGCTTGACTGAATGTGTCTCCATTCAAAAGAATCAGAAAGTTTGGCCCCAGTCTTTTCTAGCCCCAGTATAAAAGCTACTTTCCTTTTTAATTCCAACCAAGATTCAACCAATGGTCCCAAATTCTGTGTTTGATTGGTATATGCTATGCAATAGAGAACACCGTGGTAAAATTAAAAAAAAAATACCCCAACAAACCATAAACCCCCAAACAAAACAACAACAAACCCCCCCCAAACCACGACCACCAAAAAATAACCAAAACACCGAACAAAAACAATCCCTTCCCAAACCCCATCATTCATTGGCTACAAATGCTTCTTCTGAGAACTATTAGCATGGCATCTTTAACCTAAAATATCAATATGGCCTTTAAGAGCACAATTTTAATATTTAGCAAACTGTGGACAAGGCACAAACCCAACCACACTCTGTGACAGATTATACACATTAATATTCAACAGCCTCAAGGACATACAATTTCAACGCTGTTTCCACAGACCAGAACAAAACCATTTTGATTCACATGGCACTGCATGTTTTAATATTCTGAAATTAAGTGTAGTACTTTGGAAGAACTGAAATTAATTCATCAGTTGATTACAAACTAGAACATAGTCCAAGTTGTTTGGTTGAAACCCAAACTCCAAGAATAGATTCTGTATAATTTCTTTACCAGGTTTGTATTTAACAAACCCTTTGCCTAACTCATAAACAAGCCAGCTTTGAGTTCAGATAGTTTTTAGATAATAAACTTTTCCATTTTAAAACTACTTGTATCCAGCACTACAGCATTTCTTGTAACAAACAAGGTAAGCCACTAAGTACCAGGACAACTAACCCTCCCAAAGCTGCTCCTACTCCTATGGGTACAGTGAAGTTGTCTACATCCAGGCTGGTCTTCAACCAAATAGAAAAAAAACCAAGGCTGAAAAGAAATGCATTTAAATAGAAGTATTTAACACCGTAATCTCCCTCTAAGTATTTAAACAGTTGTGCCTTTCCCCAGCAGGACATCAGTCATCCACAAAACTCTGACCTCCTCCCCCTCCCCAAGATACAATAGCAATAACTATGATATTTGGGAAGAGGAACTAAGAGACTCATAATTCCACGGTATGTGTCTGCATATTGGTGTAGATTTATCATCCTTGTACACCACAAAGTCCAGCCTTCCAGTGTCTAGATACTCACTGGAAGTCTCCAGGTAAAACAATACTAGAAATACAATTACAGTAAAAGTAGTAAAGACTAAAAAAAAAACCCCAAAACAAAACAAAACCCCCATGAAACCAAAGAACTCTTCACACTTACTACAGGACAGGAGTAACTCCTTCTTGTCCCAAGTTCTGTCACAGACTCTTGCTGACTGACTTGTACTGCTAATTTGATGGAAAGGTGGTGCCTGTAGTCCCACTGTAGTCTGAATTCACTTTGGCTGATTTGAATCCTTAGGAACCCACTGCTATGCTTTTTACCAAGAGCCTAGTGAAATGTTTGTGCTTTTCTTCACATCAAAGAGCTTCAGCTGACTTCAGCTCACAACACTTGAGGAAGGTGCTAATGTTATTTCGGTTTTGCGTAGCAGGTAAGAAGGCAGCTTGAACATCACGATTACATAAGCAGTGCAGGCTAGAATCAAGAAGGCTACAGGATTAGACTGTGCTTTTCCTCTTGTCAGATGACCAAAGAGTTCCCAAGATGGGTCAGGAAGAGTAGTGTCTCTTTGATGCAGAAAATAGCCTATAGCAGCACAGACAGGATCAACACAGCTCCTAACAGAGGGGATCAAGGTACTAAGCAATTCCCAGAAGGTTCCCTAGTGCTTTCCCACTTTTACTGAATGCCATTTCATTTTCCAGGATGATAGCAAGAAGAAACTGAACTCCACAGCTGCAAATCCATCGGAGATAGCTCTCAAATCAACCACAAAAACATGTTGTGCGGATGGAGCTACAGTCAACCAAAAGGGTCCCAAGCAAATTTCCAATGCAGAAGGACAGGCACAGCACCTCAGTCAGTTCCCAGATGCCTTCTGTGCCACAATGTGCTGCCAAACATGCTGTTAAGACACAGCCAGAGGCCTCTTCGAGGAGCCCCTTCACCAGCTATGCAACAGAATCTCAGATATAGACTGACTGGACTTCACCTTACTCAGTTTATTTTCTTTCAAAAAAAGACAGTACAAGACGTCTGTTTTCAAATCAGTTAAAAAATGTGAACAAAGTTTCCTTAAGAAATAGAACAATCTTTATTTTTTAGAGCACAAGTTAAACAGATTGACAGTTCCCTACAGAGCAATACATACAGGAAAACTAGTGGTTTTATAACAACAGTAATTCAGGTGAAACTTTGATGCTTTTTGAACCAGTTATCTGCACATCAGTCTAGGAGTACTTTAAACCAATACACTTGCAGGTTTTTGCAAAGATATTTCTAGTGTTGAATTTTTCAGAGCAGTTTGCACCGATCTTCTATACTGTCACTTGGAAACCATGTACAGTTCAAATTTGCACAGTTAGAATACAGAGTGATGATTACTCCTTAACAAATGCATGTTTAACTGGTGCCACTGAACATCACTCACAAAAAAAGAAAAGCTAAAAAATCTATATGAACTTCTGCATTTGAGGATATATTAATACGAAAGTCATTAGATCCATTTCTTTAATTAAAATGGTAAGTCTTGAAGCCTGTTTCGTGATTAAACTTATAGCAGTTCCCCACTTTCATTAAAATGAATTTCAGTAACTGATGCAAAATTCAAGCTGTAGACTATAAGCTATAATAAGTATTATCCACCCAAACTTGCTTCCTAATGTCAAGAGTAAACTGTTTTTACAAAGAAAACCCCAAACCATTACTGAAAGAAGTGTATTTTATGATTTGCATACAAACATGCCACAGACATCTCTACAACCCTAGAGAACACTAATAAAACACTAGAGCAGCTTTGATGCAGGCTAAACTCATTCTAAAGGGGGAGACAATGTTATGGTCGTTAAATAACTAGTTTAGGCAGCTCATGTTAATGACATATGCAAAAAAGCCACACTTATCTAAAAGTCTTCTTTTTTTCCCATGCAGTAAGAATAGGTGTTATAGCACAAGGAGGCCCGAGAAAAGTTGTGCATTGAGGGTTAGTCTCTACAGAGCTGCAGTTTAAGAACAGTCCAGTTGCACTGCATGTTTTTTTTAACCTAGTTATTCTTTCCAAACAGCAAGGAAAAACAGGTGTTGTGGGTCCACCTCAGATTTGTTTGGCTTTTGCATTCTTAACATTAATAAATGCTACACCACAAACAATCAAACACAAGGTACATCAGACATTCAGAATGCCAATGGGCAGTTAGAATGTGAATTTTGATCGGCAGAGAACCATTCAAGATGAAGATTTAAAAACAGCTCAAGCTGCAACAGCAGATACTGGGTCATTAAATGAAAGCATCTTTAAACAATGGTCATTCAAAGCAACAAGACAGACCAGTTCTGTGCAGAGTATGGTATGAAATTAAGTGCACTTTAAAGTTCTGGAATATTTATTTAGAAAGGTTATTCCCTTTAAACCGACGCCAGCAAAAAAGCTTGCATAAATTTAGCAGAAGTTTGCCTTAGTTGAGTGTTTTAGATTGCCAAGGTACAATAAGGAATGAAGAATTCAGTGCCTAACAGTTGCTTTGTTTTGTTTCTTGAAAGCATTTGGAAATAGCACTGAAATCTTCCTATATATCTACCATTTGGCAAGTGTAGGTTACCCATTTAGTTTGTACAGCTAGGGTTAAGGAATGATTCCTGAAGTTATACCAAGGCAGGAGTAACTTACTCAAACTCTGACAAAGGTAAGTTACTGCTGCCACTTCAAGAGATCACTTAATCACCAGCCTGAAGTTCAATCCTATGGAAAACGAAGTTGTTATTGGGCATCATACAATCCTTGTTAAATACTATACAAGTCAACATAGTGACTAATGCTGCCAGCTTAACCCACAATTACCACAACAACTAAGGAACGCAGAGGAGAGAAGCAAGTACAAATTCTATGCTATTCTGGGAGTTGCCCAATGTGTATCCGTTCAGAATGTGTTCGTGTTTCAGGCTACTATTTGTAAAAAGCAGAAATAAATCCTAAATGCTTTAGGACTTTTGCAAGACAAAATCCTTAGCCTAACAATTCATCCAGTATTTGACATCTTCAAAACAGCTATGACACCCACGTCGTCTTCTTAGAGCAGGAAAACTGAAACCGTAGTTCTGCTTCATCTGACATAAACATTCTTGCTTTGTTTCTCAACTCCAATTAGCTGTGGCTAGTAATTACTCCTAAGTTTTGGGTCTTTTTTGGACTTCAGAACTTGCACTTGCTTTGTTTAAAGTGAAATCAGAACAGGAATCACATTTAGATTCACAAAGTTTGATATCCAGCATAGCTTTTTCTTCTGCCAATTATGTAAGCAACCACTATAATGGCAATCAAGACAGCAAGTGCAGCACCAACTACAATTGGGATTAGAATGCTGTCATCATCCAGCGAACACTCCTGGGCTGTAGGTGAGAAAAAGGTTGCAACAAGGAATAAATAAAGACAGAATACTTGCCAAGTGTGGTATAAAAATCTGTTTTCCTTAATATGAAGGTGTTCAAAAAACCAAGTATTAGTAAATCTTTAAACTGAGCCAGAAAGAACTGCAGAGGCCTCACAGTTATCTAGCCTATATTAAGCATTACAATCACGTGGAATGTTTGATACCCTATAATGAGCTAAGGGTGTAACAAGTTTTCATGTGCACAAGATCTGCCCTAGACAAGGTAGTAGCCATTTTTCTACATTTAACAACTGAGCTTATCTGTTTCATGCTTAAGGCAAGTCTGCTGCTTTTCCTCATGAAGGATAAAAAGTGATCTGGATTTGGTATCAAGAATCTATCCAGAATGGAGACATGTTAGACAGATAAAATAACTATAATTAGAAGAAGAAAGTTAGCTACAGCTTGAACTACAGAATGAAATGAAAGCCTAACTCTTTAGAAATAGTTTACCCTGCACGCATCTGGGGAGTTATCTTACCTCTGTCTGAACAAAAACATCCAAAAATCTGCACTCAATGTGTCTACAGAACATGCTAGTCCAGTAAGACTGTGCTGCAGGTATTACCATTAAGTACAAAGCCCAGGTTACACTAAACATCAAGAATGAGGTCATTTAAGACATTTCCGTTTTCTCCAGACAAGGCCAAGATCAAGCAGCAAACAAACATGTCAGAATCTCTTTAATTCAGGATGTTCAAGATGCTTTTGAAAAGAGCTCTGTCAGTTTTCCCAACACTCCTGCTCCTTAGACTGACAGGTTAAAAAGAAACAAAACACCTAAGAGTATTCTCAAAGTCCACTTCTGCTAAAGCTCTGTTCTATTTTCTTATATATTCAAGCTACAAAACTGTATGTCAAGATGATGTCAGGTAACTTCTAACCTATTCTGCAAGGCAATGCTTCATAATCTCTAGTTCACTCAAGTTTTGTGAAGGAGAACCACATACCTAGCAGATATTTAAGTGAGAACAAAGCTTTGCTTGAACTTTAGTATCAGTCTCAGAACTTCTCTTCATTCCATGTACATAAAAACAGATTTTCAAAAATTGGAACCAGGGCTTCTAAAATAAAGTGGCTGTACCCAGTGCTGGTGCTTTTTAGCAAGAAATACTTTTGTAAGCATTGCTTAAGTTAACAAAAACATAACTCTTACCTGTAGCAAACTTATTTTCCACCACAAGGAATGGCTGAATCCATAGATTAAAAGTATGTACTTGAATATCTTCACTAATCTCAAGAGTTTGTTCTTTTCGGCACATGTAAGAGCTCCCCAGGAAAGTATCCCACTGGCTGAAATTGCTGTTATCTGCACTTGAGATGACTAAACAAAGGGCAAAACAAAAGAAATTTGCATGCTTACTTTAAATGCAACACAGTGGCTAATACAATCATAAGACTGATGTGCAGAATCTAGGGGGGCCAACATTTCAACACTGACTAGTCTGGAAAACAAGGCAAAGTGAAATGGGATTGATCTGCTCAACCAGAAGTCAGGCACTGAAGTGATTGCAGTCCTTAGCAGTAACCTCTCCTCCATATACAACACATCATATCAGGCATTCCCTGTACCTCCACTCATCCCAACACTGCAGAGTTACAAGCATTTTAGCTTTAGTGCTCTCTTAACTGCTGTAGCCGTGACAAACAACTTAAAAAAAAACCAAACCAAAACAGAACACACTTCTGTTTTGGAAAAATGTATGCTTGAGCTCTTGAAGGACTGGTCTTTTCACAGTGAGAGTTAAGTACAAGTGGCTGAAAGATACAGCAGCATCTTCAGTCAAAGAAAACAACAGCTGGTTTAAGGGAAAAAAAAAAAAGCTCAAAAGTTGGTACAACTGTATTTCACCCCTCAAAAATGTACGTTACCTAGAACTTCATTAGCAGAAGTTCCAGGAATGACGGAATAATCACAAACTGCTGTTTAAAGTAACTCTTAGAGCCATTTCTGCTTATTATTCTTGTTCCTATCAACTTACAAAGTAGGAGCTAATAGTAAGCATGAACAACACTGAAAAATAAGTCAGCAGTATCTGATACAGACATTGAACAAAATGTTACACTTGCTTTAAGGTAGATAGTGTTTCTTACCAGAGCCATTCAGATGGTTGAGCAGCGTCACATTCACCTCTTTCAGGTAAAATTTTTGTACATTTGCACTTGTATTTTTCTGTTTAAGAGGCAAGAACCAAGTGTCAGTGTGCAATTTTGCACTTATAACTTTAAGAACATATGTTCTACACAGCACAACACCTTTACCAGCCTTACATTTTCTACAACTTCAACCCAATCTCTGTTTGCCTTGAGGCAGTCAGCTGGCCAGTTCCACTCCCTACATGGAAACAGCCTGCCACCAGCAAGTGCCAGGAGGGTTTTACTATGAGTGCTCACCATGCAATGCTGTCAAAGTGAAAACTTGGTTTAAAATAAAAGAAGTTCCTTACCACAATAAATGTGAAAGCAATCAGTGAGCTATTTCTGTCATTCAGTTTCAGAGTAGCTGTTGTGTTACCACAGGCTCCATCTGCAATAGTGGTCTTGGGATTGATGTTGATCAGAAGAGGCTGAAACACAGACACACCACAGCAGAGACATTCAGCTGCCGTTTGGAACATGCTGTCTCAGTCAGTAGCAGTCTTGGGCTAGAAGAGCTTGTCAAAGCTGACAGTGGGAAGACTGAGCCTGGCTACTACAAAGCCAAGGCTACGGGAGTTAAATTTACATGCTGGCAACACTGAAGCAAACAAATTGTCCAGTTTGCACTAACACAACAGGCTGCCTGGCTCCCTCTGAGGGCGAAGACAGTATCTGCAGGGACCAACAGCCTTAACAGCTAAGAAAGTTCCAGATTTTAAAACAGCTTAGAAGTACTCCCACTAACGAATTATGTTGAATCTGTGTACCATTTTGGAGCTAGACATTATGCCACAAAACTATTCTGATGTCAGAGGTGCTGACATACAGTCCTTAGAAGCAGTTCTGGACAGCCAGCAGTGTACAAAGCAAACACCCTGCACTCAGGTTTCACATCAAATAACTACAGCAAGCTTTCACTTTTCAAAAGAGAAGAGAAGCACCTTGTCTTGGGAAACATTCAGCTGCAGTCCCACAGTAGCCAGAAAACAAGTTTTATTTCCACTTTTAAGAGAATAGTTTCCTATGTCTGGGTTCTCCACAGGTTTGGGAGGGGTGGTCGGAGGAGGCGACACAGTGGTGGTAGGTGCAGTAGTTGCATTGGCAATAGTCGGTGGAACAGTAGGTGCAGCAGTTGGTGTATCAGCACGACATCTAAACTCTGAAAGACATTTTAACCACCATTTCAGGGCTGAACTTTTACTGAAATCTTATGACTCAGAGGCCAGTTCAATACAGATACCAATTTCTCTACTGAAATCCAGGCTCATTGGGAGTCTGCTAATCACCAAGTCAGGAGTCCCAAACTTGGCACCACAGCCCAGTATTCCAAACAGTGCACAGCTGCCATACATTCTCAGAAATTCTGTGACGTTCACAGCCCTAAATCCACACAGCATCTGCAGCACCACTTACCTCTGGCACACAGAAGCAAAACACACAAAGATAGCCACGTGGTTAAAAAAGTGTGATATGTATTTGCTGCAGACAAAGTAAGTGACCCTATTAAGCTGTGTGCAGCAGGACGAGATGCTCATTTCCTTTAGCAGCTGAGCTATAAGATGAGACGACAGGCTCTGGACTAGTCAAAGAAAATAAGCAGAGGCTGCCACTGAAGTGGAAGGCTGTCAGCTAAAAACCTTCGAACTCAAACGATCTGGGCAGCAACAATTGTTCTGAAGTGTTTACTCTTAATACCCCAATTACTGGAATACACACGTTAGCAGACTCCCACCTTGGCATGGAAACAATCGACATTACAACACACCACTAAAGCTGTTCTCCTAAGCTATTTTTCCAGGAACAAGGAACGACCTACTAAAGGGTATTTACGTGAATGTTATTAAACACAGCACATCTTAGAACCGGTGGATTGGTCGTTATGGGACTTTGCTCCCTGCACTAAGGTGCATTACAGAAAAGCTCATTCACAAACTGAAATGCTCACCTTTTTTACTGACTGTGCCATTCTGAACAAAAGCCTGCACAGTAACATTCCAGAAAATCTGTGTTACATTTTCTGCTTCAATAAAGTCAGGGTTATGACACACGTAGACCTTATTCAGTTGAACTGGAGGCGTATTATCCTTTGCAACAATAGTAACTGGTCCTGCAAACAAGCACAAGTATTTTAATGCCTTATGAACTACAAGAACTTAGAGGTCGCGTTATGTTTCCTACAATTCCATAAAACAAAGAGTAAGAGATAATTAAGTTTAACAATCCTAAGTTCTCTCGAATGTTTTACCTACGTGTCCTGACCTGAAGTGCTAAGTAATGCAGAGAAGTACCCAAGCTTCCAGAATGAGACAGGCCATTAGAAAGGTGATCCCTTTTACTTAAGTTATTAAGGAGAAAAAATCCTATCATTAGTAGGTATTAGTACACAGAAAGTATAACACTGCATTGCTTGGCAAGGTGGAAGGTCAAGCAGTGCACACTGAAATGAATCTTCCATATGCTGCTGTCTACCAGCACTTCACTGATCAAAGCTGCTCAGTTATCCTTCCCCTTCTGTTCCACTTACAGGAATTACACATGCAGTGAAGCCAACTAGTCCACATTCTTGTCCAGCAGGCAGGTGGGATGAACAATAGTTAGGCAGCATGTGGTATAGAAGTCATTACATAGATTACTAGTCCTTCTAGCTTTGACAAAGCCAGCCAAGGTCAGGTACATGAGATCTAACACTTGCAGCTGAGACTGTTTTGCAAGTAGGATTCTGCACTGAACATTACCTTTTCTTTTAGCATCAGGAAACACAGCTGTGTCATTGGTGTTGTAGGTAAATGTGATCATGTCTGCCCAATAAGACTCATTGTTTTTTGTAGTGTTTACGGTCCAAGAATGACCTTCTCCAAACTGCAGTGCCACGAGTGCAGGCTGTGTGTCACTGCCACAGACGCTTCCATTGTGTGTCACATTGGATGGCAAGTCCATGGTTATGGTTTTCTAGAAGAAAAAGGTGATTTTAAACATGTTCCCAGGTAGCAGTTCTACCCCATGACAACATTAGGAACCTGCTGGAGTTGGATGGAACCTTACCCAAGATTAATTAGATTACTTTAGATTCAATCTGCAAACACAAAATTATTTGCAATTTACATTTACTGTTTGGGCTAAGAACTTGGCAAATTTTGTGTACGTCATTTCAGTAAGAACAACACAGGGTACTCACAGTTACTTGTATGATTGAGAACTTATGCTTTGTTTTTAAAGGAGTATGTAGGAATACTCTTAACAACTGATATAGTTAAAGAAAAAAAAACAACCAACCAAACACAGAGTGGATTTAAAACTTTTACCCAGACTAAAATACAGTTCTCAACAAGAGTTACCTGCAAATACTTACATAATCACTACTGTTTGTTTCATATGTTATCAAGAACTTCATCATCCAATTTGCATACAGGCACGTGGCATTAGAGGCATCCTTTAGCTCTACTTCCACAGCATGGGACTGGAAAAAACCTATAAGATATGATTATTAGCTATTAAGACATTGCTTTTACTTCATTTTCTAGAACCACTTAAGACAACAGCTCATCACAAAGCAGTGAATTATGGCAGGGCTACATTCAATTTGCCAGACAATGGCAAAGACTTCTAAAATTGCTAGATTTCTAAAAAACCATTAAAAATAGGAAGCACACCATGAAGTTACCAAAGCTAAATAAAAACTGGGGGAATATTTTATAGTTTATCTGCCATAGACTAACAGTCTAAAAGCAGTGGGTTCCCCAACACTGGGCACTTGTAAGATTTGGCTGGGCCAGAGCACGGTTTTGCCAAGAGAGGCTGGACCAGCTGATCCTTGAGGTCCCTTCCAACCTGGGATTCAGATTCCATGGAGCAATCATTAGCTTTCTGGCGACACACTGAGTAGCTGATGTCCTGATTGTAAACCAGCACCTCCCTATTATTTCACATCTTGAATCAGCAACTGAGATTCAAGCTGATCCCTAAGAGCGTTCCTCCACTACCGTTCCACGATTCCCAGCTCCAAAAAAAA